AGAAGCGGCTCCAGCCGAGCCCTCGCTGCAGCCTTCACCGCGGGTCATGGTCCATCACCCCTGCAGCATCCTGCAAGAGGAGGGTTATCCGGTGCCCGGCAGAGCCTGCAGTCCGAGCAGGACATCCAGCAATGCTTTCCATCTATGTTTGCTTACTTGCCACTCTGAAATGCTTTGCTTGACGTTCATTAGCGTTTGGCTAATATTCTGCCCGCTATTAGGCTCTAGGAAAACAGGAAAGTCAATGGAAGTAGCTTTGAGAGATGCTTAGAAATTCATAGTGTCCAGCAACAGAGAGAATTGCCTTCCTGATTAATAATGCCTCAGCGCGCTGTCCTCAGAAAAGATGGAGAGCATTAAGTAGCTGAGAGATCCCAAAATAACTGGAAAGCCATTTATTAGGTGGTTACTCATCCACATCTGAAACACAGTCATTTCTCAGGTGAGATTCGGCTGTTACTCTGCCAGTACAAATACAAGAAAAATGTGCCATGAGAAAACGTTGAAAACGTCTCTGATGAGAAGTGCCAGGGGAAGGTTTGGGGAGCAGAGCTGAGATAGCATTTGTTTTGAACAGAAGAGTTAATATCTCAGCACTCGCATAAAAACAAACCGAGCAAAAACCCCCAGAGGGTTTCAAAAAGATTTCCAGTGATGAAGTCACAGGCTTGAGACCTCATCTGATACACTTATTCTCTGCTTCCTAAAAAATACCGTAGCGCAAAAAAAGTTGGGGGGTTTTTGCAAACCAGTAACCTGATCCGATTCGGTCACCGAGCAGCACTAGGTGAGCGAGCACAGACGTCCCGCAACGAGCTAGGCAGAAGGGGAAGGGAATCACGAGCTGGGTTCCAGGCAGCGAGACAGACCAGAGCAGCGGTCACGCTGCAGGACATGGCCAAAACGTTGACTTTTGGGCTCATCCTGGTGCCTGTTCCCTGTTTCGACTCGGCAGGTAGGGAAATGAGAGCTACGAGGACCCATGAGAGCTACGAGGACCCAAGACAGCGAGACTTGCTGCCCTGAGAGCTCTCCCAGCTCAGACGTGTTGCTGTTATTAGTCCTGCTTGTGCCACTTAAGATCCGTAGTGCAAGTTCTGGGGTGGGAAAGGCCCAGGGAGCGTGTAGGGACATGCTGGAAGTAACAAGTGCCTTTTGTTTCTAACTGAACACACAAAACACTAGACACGTCCTTGGAGCTCAAAGGTAAACGTGAATGGAGGCAAAGGAGAGCAGTGGAGGTTTGTACACGGAGACCAACCCAGGCCCTGGCTGCGCTGGAGCGTGTTCAGAGAACCTCCCCGGCAAAGGTGGTCACCAAATTGGAAGGAAGAGCAAAGGCTGCTCAAACTGCTGCTTTTGTACCCATTTTGCAGAAGGGAGAGTGGCTCCAAATGATAAAGTGACTTCCTGGAGCCAAGCAAAGAGTCTGCAGCCAGTGACAACCTGAACTTTGATCCTTGGGATCCCCACCGAGTGCTCAAGCCGCAGGGCCCGTCCCTGCGACGCCGTGTGTACATACTGTCTTTAATCCCATTTAAGCATCAGGACATGAAACACACTCACAGGAGCCAATTTTTAGTCAGGAGAAGGGATCGAACTCCCTTACCGAAGTCATGAAAAATTGTGCTGGTTTCATGACTGCTTTGCTCCTTTCGCAGGTCTGGATGGTGCAGGTGACCATGCAGGTCTCTGTACGTATCAAAGAGGTTCATGGTGCACAATGGTTATGATGGAAAATCCTGAAAATTTCAAATAGCACCTGGGAAAAAGGTTAGGAAAAACCCCTCTGAGCTGTGCCAGAAGGGACCAGCTCAGCCCTGGGCAGGGCGGGCACCTGGCTGGCACTTGCTGTTGCCTCAGATCACAGGAGGACCCAGAACAAACTACGTTCTGGCTGCACAAGCTGTAACCAGAGCAGCCTCTGCCATCAAGAGGCCACCTGAAGACTGGCCACAACGATGTTTTTGAGCAGCAAGTGACCCAAAGGGTCTAGAGAGACTTTCACCAAGGCATCGACCCGCTGCTGCCGCTGCCTCCGTGCTCGGTGTCTCCGGCACAGTGCCTAGGAGGGCTCACAGTGCAGTTAATTACACCCGGGGGATGCTCTGCACGAGAACCTGACTCTTACCTGATGAAACCCACTCGTCTTCTCCGGTCTGTTAAATGCTCAATAACAGAAGCTAGGATTTCTCCATATACAAGCAGCTAAGGCCTGCAAATCAGGTGGGAAGCACATTAGAAACAGCATTTGGATTGTATTTTTTTTAAACTCCCAAATACACATTTTAGCTCTAAGTGGAGCAATAGCATCCCTTGTTTGGGTAATTATAGATGAGGTATTGCATATGGCAGGTTATAACCAAATTTAGTCATTTTTCAAACTAGCGACTCGAAACTGTAACTTCCCCGAGCCCACTGCAAAGGGCCGACGTGAAGCCTTTGCGTGTGGTGCAGTTTGCAAAACGTAGAAGGAGGAAATGAGAAAGCCAAGTTAACACTGTTGAACTGCCCTCTGCTGTTTGCTTGGTTAGGATGCAGAGCAGCTTTTCTGCAGGGCTCCTGCACCTCTCCAAGCAACAGGCAGCGACGGCCAAGCGAAGCCGAGCAGCAGGATGGAGCGAGGTGTTTGTGCGGGCACACGGGACCACGCTGCGGCTTTCCCAACGCGAACGCTCCGGGGAAACCCCAAACCTGGTACCCTCGCAACGCACAGAGCAGCGGGCACCTCTCAGAGCCCCTGATCCCGCCACGCATTCCTGTTCACCTCCCTGGGCGTCCTGCTCCTTCGGGTCAGCGCTCCATCCCTTCAGCATCACGGAATAGAACCATTACGGTTGGAAAAGACCTTCAAGATTCTCCAGCTGCAAGATGCCAGCTTCCTTCTCCTCTGACAACCTTCTGGGTTGCTATTGCCTGCTTGCTCTTAGCTGTGATTTCGCTTTGCCCACCTTAGCTCGCTTAGCCCGGGTTATCAGGAGGTGACTTCAGCGGCGTCAGATACTGAGCAGGTCGTCTCCACCGCTGCAGGGAAGTAGCCTGAAAACACATTCCAAAAATGGAAAAACAACGAAAAAAAAGAAAAATACAGGGCCCATAGGAGGATAGAAAAGGAAGTTATCAAGCCCCACACTGCAACCAGGACAAAGTCACCCCGAGGGGACTGTGAAACCTCTCCAGAGGAGACACCCCGCGCTGCCTGCAGCAGCCTGGAGCGGCCCCCACGTGCAGGCAAAGCCACTGCTGGGAATCCGACTGCACAGCCCCAACACACTGCAAAGAAACAGCTAATCCCTGGGAAAACACTAACGGCATCGTAGGGCTTCTCCCGACATCCGCGCTCGCTGGCGGCTCTGCTTCCCATCGGCAAGGCGGAGACCTGCCCTCGGGAGCTCAGGGATATTGTGTAGGAAAATCAAGCCCCCCGAGCCGGCAGTGCAGGGCAGTCCGTGCAAACAGCAATTCCTTGGCACAGGGCAGCTCCCCAGGAAGCTCCCCTGGCAGCCCCGGGTCTCATATCCCCAAATACAACCCCCAAATATAACCCAGCTGCAGGCAAGGACCCGCTCTACAAAAATCGCATTTTTTGAAGGAAACGGCATCGGTTCATCAGCTAAGGCAAGGACGAGCT